AATTAAATTGGTTAGAATATTATTTACTATTATAATTTGAACAAAACCAAAGTGATTTTGAGAGTAGCTAATAATGAATAAAAAGTTTATTAAGGCTCTCTCACTCGAAATGCAATTCTATTTCTCACTTTTATTTCCCCATTCCGTTGACTTTTATTCACCAAAATTTAATATAATCAATACACAAATTTCCCTGCAAAACTTCTTAGACTTTTGGACGAAAATTATTTAGCATTAAATTGGGTGAACAAAAATTGTTTCTTGTGTTATATATAATGACAGAAAGTGTTAGAAGTAAAAATTCCAAAACATGATAATATGATCTAAATTTATCTGTTAATTAAAAAATAAGGCAAAAATAAATTGTTAAAGAAGTCGCTATTGCTAAGATTGACGAATCCTCAAGTTCAGAATATTCTGGAGCAACTGTTTGACCGGTGTATGGTTGTGGCAGGCGCGAATCCTTACAAAAATTTTTTGTCAAGCTGAAAGTTATAATAAGAACAATAAACCTATCTCTAGCATTAAACCAAAGATTACCATAATACAACCTGCCGGCCAAATCCAGTCAGCAAGGTCAGTTCATTTGGCCTGCCGCCACACTACCACAAATGAGCTAAAATATAATTATTTATATGGAAATATAGACTGTAGATTAACTTACTATGTAGAAAACATTAAAATAAGTGTAAGTAAAATGACAGAAGTCGTCCGATTTCATTTTGCATCTGACAGCATCTGATTAATTTTTAAGAAAATCGGTGAAATAAAAAATTCGGCGACTTTGGATCAGAACGCTTTTTGTGTAAGTATAGTACCTGCAATGAAGTTTCTAAGAAAAGCGATTAGCAGCTTGCTACAGTGATCGGGTTTGTGTATTGGTAAATATATATGTCAGTTTTCTTTATTTTTTGGTTATTCAGTATACTGTATTGGGCAAAATAGTTACACGGCCCGCGCTCGTCATTCTCTCAGTTATCTGGCCCGCTGTGAAAAAGTTTGGTGACCCCTGTATGAAACAATAGGCAGAAACGTTATTTGGTGTGGATAAAATAGCGACAACATACGTAACCCACAACAATTCACAACTTAGATTTGAAACCATATAATACATGTATGCAGACTGGATTGTACCGCAAGCTTTCGGTACTATCTAGCCGTATTAAATGCTTCGAATGAGGTCATGCGCGCAAACTTGTTTGCTGCGGCAAACCTTCGCACGAGCAAGCGATCACGTTTCCTCAAATATCATACTGACTTAATCGGATTATATGCACCAAAAGAATTACTTAAAGCATTTCAGATAATAAGTTTTAAATTGCTCCTGAACCAAAAGCTATTATTGAACGTTCCACGAGGATCGTCCGTAAAATTTAATAGACAATTAATTAAAAGATTTATTAGGATTTGATCGATTAGAGTATCTCTAAGAAGAATTCATAGGGACTTAGAATTAAACGCGGGAATGACAGAAACATTTGTATAATCTAATATAAAAAAATCTCATTACGTCAGTGGCGTGCCGTGACATTTGATGATAGGGAAGCTGTGTTTTTATAAGAAGCCGACTTCCAGGGGCAATCAGTTAATTCTTTCTTTAAATGTATTTTTAATAGATTATTTAGTACGTACTTAATAAATAAACGAGTTCAATATAATTACCTCTGTTATTAGATCCAATATATTCCATACGCCCTCTAAATGCCAATTCTTACTTTGATAAAAACATATAACATCTATTTATTTATATATAATATATCTATTACCCGTAACTATCTCGTTATAATTTTCAATATTTATTTTATATTATTTACTAATGTTAAATTCTATTCCGCTTCGATTTCCAAATTGCTTCAAATACGAAAGAATTGACGAGTTTTCGTGTCTTTTGCCAGCTAAATTGTCAAAGCTATTCTTATTCCACACACTAATTTCATTTGAAAATAGTAGGCAAGCCAACAAAACAATTTTTGCATTTTTATGGATTTACAGGGCCATTTTATCGTAAAAATGTCGAACAAATTTTTTTATCGAAGTGTTTATATTTAACTTAGGCATTGGCCTTTCTCTTTTAATAATGTTTTCTTTTTCATTATATGATCTTGAGCCAAAACTTTTTTAAAATAAATTTTCAATATCGCAATTACATTCTGAATCGCTAGCCACGATATAAGGGCTAAAATTAAAAATAAAATTATAAAAACTTACTTGGTGAAATAAAATGTGTGGTGGATATACATACCTGGTACAAAACATTCTTCAATTGTATGAATATACTTTTAAAGAAAATTATAATTAAATATAGCTTTGTAATGAAACGTACATAAAAATAACATAAAATATTCTTTACTCTTTAAATCTTAACCACTTAGTCAAATAGCTCCCTACGAGTGGAATCAGAGACGGTCCTGCTAGGTGTGCGGTGTGTACTGTACATGCACGCGGGCTGCCAAATCCCGAGGGTGCCGATACCCTCGGGATTTGGCAATGTCAAATGTTTCTTTTGTCGCATCACTAATATACCTCAAAAGACGCGACAGGGTTCTTGTAAATTTTAAACGTTTCTCACCATAGCTGTAAAAGTCTAAATATGTTAAACTTAATAGATTGTCCGTCGTTTGTTTTCTAACTAATTCGTTTTAGGACCAGGTGTTGTCCACGGAAATTTCCAAAATTTACAACTTTTCGGTCACTCTCGTCGAACTGGAAAAATTTCTGTCTTTATTACATCTAATACAGTATTTCGAAGAAATCAGTCCCCACTGTACTCGGCTATAGATTGGTTCGGTTAAGCTTTTGTTTAAGTAATATTCCGGCTCTTTCGTCAGGGTTTTGTTTACGTCCCCAATTCCCTAATCGCTTAATTATTTAACTACTTCTTAAGTAGAAATAAGTCGAAACCAGTTACTTTGTACTCGAATATTTGTAGTCTCGGGAAAAAGTGGAAAGACAAATTTTTATGACAAACGGATACATAAATCGTAAATTTAAGGAAAATAAATTCTAGAGCTTTTTCTGTACCTCGTGCATCTCTCTCATTCATTAAATTTAGTTGTAAATGATGCTGTCAAAGTAACAGTTAATTTTTTAACATTATACAAGAATTGTACACGTTTTTTTCTACATCCCCTTAAAGATGGGATATACGAAATCGTAATATCACTGGTTTAACATTGAAATCCGTGAGTAATATAAAATCGGAGAGCGGAATAAATATATCAAATATTTTAATGGATTTTTTAAACTCCTGTCAACTATACAGAACTATCGTAAAAACATACCAGTAAATTCTTATCGGTTGGGTTAAGTTATAAATCTACTCGTTATTCACGTAATCGAAATATCTAGTGGGCAGGCGGCTAACAGCCCAGAACCGGTCCTTGATAGAATTGGAATCTTTATATGTGTGCAGCTTTCACCCAAGGTCGTAGGCTTCCACCGGCTAAACCGGGTGAGGTTGGTGCTCTGTAAAGCGCATGCGCAAATCTGGCTTTTCGTAATCTGAAAATACAGGAGATTCCACTCCGCCACTAATATTCTAATATACAATAGCAATTTTTTTTCCCACGTGTAGTATAGAAATTTGTAATAAGATACATAATGCGGTTATAATAAAATATTGTGCGATTATTTTCATATAATTAAAATTAATATTTATTTAATTTTTAGAAAATACGAGGAAGCGGCGCTTCCAACGCTTCTAATGACGGTACGCCACTGCATTACGTAGGCGATAATTCGGCTCCATTTTTTCGAGTAATTCCGGTCATGGGAGAAAAAAAAACAACAAATTGTTAAAATTTATAATACTCCGTTATTTTTTTCTCTTCGAACGAATTATATCAAGACTGTATCTATGGATCAATGCTCAGCATCGAGTGAAAACATAAGTTTTGGTTTTGGAAAATCGTTTTTGGTGTTATGTTTTCAAAAAGCATGAAAACAATTTTCATTAAAGAATCACTTATTTAATAAAACGAAGCTTAATTAAGCATTTATTGCATAGTGTGTGTATAAATAGTTGAAATGAATCCAGTTATTAGTTGTAGACAGAGTGTTGTCTAAATAGGAAAACCTTAACTATGGATACCTCTGTAAAAGTAAATTTTTGCCTCCTTCTTGGTATCAAAATACAATACTCTAAATATATCCTAGAGTTTTTCATCGGTCAAAATCAATTATAGATTTCCATTAGTAATAGCTATTACTGCGATGAAAAGTAACTTTACAAGTTCAGCTTTCTGTTTTGAATGACACGAATTACAATATTATTGAGCTCACTTGTTGTTATTATTGCTGTAATTATACATTATTAACAGATTTAATTATTTGTTTCTTTAAATTGTTATTATTATTAAATGTTTCAGTGCAAAAATTACTCAACGACTTCCTGTAAAATATACAATAGGACAAGAAAACCTGAAGAAAATCGTTAATACTAATTAAGAATATTAGTTGGTATTAATATTGTAAGTATAAATAGGTGTAACGTGTAATCATTTTTTCGTTTTACGATTTAAAATATTGTAACGTTGTCTGTCTGTAATGTAATAGTTCAAATACAATATCAATTTGTATGTTTAAAATTCGGTCTAATTCAGTTTGCAAATCACTTGACCAGATATAAGAAGCTTATGGGAAGGAGGACCTTGATTAACTATAAAAGAACTGAACTTTCGATGTAAACAAAAATTCACATAATTTCAATTCAAATATATCTCCTCCGAACAGAGTCAGATAGATGACTGGTACGACTCTATTGTTCAAGGAAAAGTATAAAGTACGGAGGCAAGCCACTGCTAATTTGAAGTGGAGAGAACATATATTAAATAAAACAAATAAAAATATGATAAAGAATTGCAAATGGACATTCTGAGAAAATAAGTATTTACGAATGGTTATCGTTGATTTAATTATTGATATGTGCATAATTATATTTAAAAAAAAACAAGTAATTTTTCATTGACATATAAAATCGCTATATCTGACCTTTTCCCGGGCAAACACAGGAACTTGCGACATTCTAACTTTTAACACTATGCATGAATCAGATGTAAATTCGGTCGTAAATTGATTAAATCAGGTAAGAATATCTTAATATGCATAATATTAAGAGCAGAATTCGAAATTGCTTGTTGCTTGTTATAAATTTGTATATACATTATTCGATTTATATTATCGTTATCTATATTATAGTGTATAATTTATATATATTTACTCGGTTTTAATTTGTAACATTTTGACTGCCGCAATCCTCCAATGAAGCGTAATAATGAAGTATTACGGTTGGTTGATATTTTCTTTCTTCTTTACTGGAGATATAAAACAAATGTCTTTAATTGGCTGCAATTTGAAAAAAAAAAATTATAAATTCCCTCTGTTGTCCATCAGTTCAACCTGTCGTTCTTTAAATTAATTGTAAAACGGAATTAAACTAATAAAACAGACAACCAGATATAAATAGGTGAGGTGCAGTAGGCCTCAATTATCTATATACGCACTTCTTATGTAAACTGGAAGTCACATCATTATTTCAATTTATACTTTTTTCCCTGAAAGCAGTTAAATAGGTGACCGGCACGAATCTATTACAAGTTAAAGATTTAAAATAAAGTAACCTTAATAATATGTTGTCGAATAGTTTGAACTATTTATTTATTTAAAGTTTTAAATATAGCTGCAAACATTATATACTTTGTCGAAACTAACGACTTTGTCCCACAATAAAAATATTTGAAAATCGTTGTACGAGAACAGTTACTTTGTAAAATATTTCAGATAATTTTGTAAGATTAACTATTGTATCTCGAGATAGACGTGTGTGACTCTTTAGCCTTATCAAAATTTCAAAATAAAGGTTGTTAGTGCCAAGGCTTTTTGATAGTAATTCCTAAATAGGAATTAATTTAAGTAAGAATAAAGTTAATTCAAGAATATTTCACATTTTATGTAATAAACTCGAACATAAATTTTACCATCGAATAATGAATATTAATTTGCCCGTGCGAAGGTTTTCGAAATACAACATTAAACTTCCCATTTCTATATTTAGGTCACTGATATTATTTATTATTATTATTATTACTGGGAAGGTGGTGAAAGCTCGAGACTACTCAGTGGTATCGCTCGAGGGTGAAATGAGAAGGAAAGAGAGGTTTAGGAGAAGGGTAAAAGTGAAATGGATAGAGAGATAGGATAGGTGGTGAAGGGGTAGGATCATGGGCGCCAGCATCACATTTATTGATGGAAGTAAGAAAAAAACAAAATAGAAGATATACAGAATACAGCATATATAATACCTATGTACAAGGTGGTGGCGCGATTGTAAAACAACAATAGATAGAAAACAGTTGACAGTAGAGTGGCTATTATACAATGTGTTAAAAGTAGAAAACATACATATACGTGATGAAGGGTGAGAGTCCTGTTGAAGGATCTTCGTTAGTTCATATGCGTGTTGTTCCTGTGATAGTCCGCCAGTCGAAGCTTTGCGACAAAGGCTTTAAAGGTAGAGAAGATTTTCTTGTTGTGGAGAAGGGCCTCAAGGGTGCAGGGCCAATGGTGACCCTCTGCCTGAAGCCTGTCCCTGAGAGGGGGCCTGTGGGCCCTGTGATTTGCACAAGTAAAGATTACGTGGTATGGGTCCTCGTCTTCTTCAATTCCGCAATTGCAGGTGCTGCTTCCTTTTTTAAGAAAACGATAGAGATAGGCCCTGAAGTTACCGTGTGCTGTCAAGAGCTGGGTGATGGCGTGATTGATGTTGAAGAAGTTGAGTGTCATCCTTTTGCTGATGTAT